TTTTCTTCCCCTACCCGCAGTGGTTTCTTTGCAGTGCAAGATGCCTCTGCGACGCTTTCACGTCATGTGCGTCGGCATTGCGGAGGAGACCACCACTGAGCAGTAGCTCTACAAGAAAAACTATTCCGTTCTGTTTTTATTCTATCTGTCCTGGCATCCACTAGTGTTGTTCGCAATATTTTTTTCATTATTATTAGTTGTGTAGAAGAAGATAGTAGTGTCAATCCGTGTCACCGGCTACACCTCTTTTTTTTTCATAGTAGTTCTCGTAGTGCGTGAGTGTTATTTGCGCCTTTAGGGGCGTCTGAAAAGGTAATCTTCAACCCAAGGCCACTGACCTAAGATAAAGGCGGCATATATATATATATATATATATATATATATATATATATATATATATATATATATATATATATATATATATATATATATATATATATATATATATATATATATATATATATATATATATAAATATATATATATATATATATATATATATATATATATATATATATATATATATATATATATATATATTCCTGGGTGGGAGGGTGAGGGGGAAGCTGATTTTGGTCACACTTTATGTGTAATTGTATGTGTGCGTCTATGTATGCACATGCCCAAAGAGAAATACAGGTTGAACGGTGCGCGCGGAGGGTGGGGGGGGGGGGCTAAGCATTTTTTCTTCCTTTTCTGGCTACGCCGCTGCTGATGACGATGAGCCATCAAGCCGTTCAAAAACATACAGTATACAATAACACATAAACACAACATAAACGAGACTATCGGCTCGGCTACCAGTTCTTAATACGAAGTTGCTTTTCACTTTTCTAGTCTTATGACAAGCTTTGGGTCTCAGGGAGCTGGGTGCTTTCCTGAAAGCCGGAGAAAGCTGAAACTTTTGAATTACGATAGTGTTTATCAGTCTACTGCGTCTATACTACAAGTGTGCTAAAAGACGTATCTACTGAATATGATTGAATAGATTTATAAAGTGTGTAAAACACACCTTCGGCATTTGCAGAATTCTCAAGGAAAGCAGAATTGGTGACTTTACATTTCTAAAGCTGCATGGCTCATGTGGAAGTTGCCATGCTGACCCCATTCTTTGATTGATTGATACGTGGGGTGTAACGTCCCAAAACCACCTTATGATTACGAGAGACGCCGTAGTGGAGGGCTCCGGAAATTTCGACCACCTGGGGCCCATTTCTTGTAGCGCAGTTGACAATGGAACATAAATGATAACCCCGATCCCATTTCGATTGCTCTGTAGAGAGCGCCATGTTTACTGTCTGTATCCCAGGTAAGTGGCCTTGGGCTCAAGATCGTTCTTGCGAGTGCGTCAGTATGCGTGAGTTACGTAGGCAAAAAGCTTGTGGAGATACACGATTTCAAAATATATATATATTTCTCAAGTTTAAAAAATAATACCCTCTAGTAACTTCACCTATTTTTCGCTAATACATGAGACTTTCAAATGAGATATTCTGCATATTTTTAGACCAATCACCAAGACAAGTTTTGGACGCTGAATACAATTCTTTTCCCCAAAAAAGTGACATTCGCATTTTTTTCCCAGATGATCTGCTATAAGTTCAGTGCCTAATTGATTTTTAGCTTGTACCATCTGAAACAGACCACCAGCACATATTTTACTATTTGTGTCCTTTGAGCTTGCCCTGTTCCCACAAAATAATCCCAAATTTGGCAACATTATTAAGTTGTGCTCGTGGGAACAGCCCTCGAAGAATCGATATACATAAGTCATACTTTTTACAGTTGAATCACTTCATTACTTTGGCAAAACACCATTTTATGAAGTGCATTCCAAAAGTGTCTTTTGTAAAAAAAAAATTATTGCTATTTGACGCTCTCTAGCTCAGTCGGCGCTACACTGCAGACTCCCATAAATAGGAGGGGAAATTTTTGACAATGGAAATAAATAATCAGGACGAGTTTCGCACTTCGAGAAACACGTGAAAATTTTTTCAGTCATATTCTTGATGTGGGAAAAACGCTGGATGATTTCGCGTGGAATGAATCAAAAGATATAATTATGACGCAGTGGGCGCTTTAAAACTGCACTTGGAGTATGCACTCTATAGGATAGGTTGAAACAAACTATATGTTGCGCGCACAGTCGCTCGTTTCCTGGTGGAATGTTTGAGGCCCGCACAGACTACCGAAGCTATTGAGATGGCAATGCGTTCGGGGCCCGATTACGCTATCGCGTTCTGCTCTTGAGGGTGAAGCTCAAATGCCCTCCACGCTTTTTCTACAGTCCTTACTACGCCCAATATTCAGCAGCTTTTTGACGGTAAAGAAATGCAATTCTGGGATTAAAGGAAATGTACCACTGAAAATGACACTATTGACTTGACCTGATTCGTGGACGAAAACTGTAAGTGAACGCAGCAATCGCAGAGCGTCGGAATGAAAGCAAACGCGCCGATATCCGCCTCACAATCTCTCCTTTGGTGCTGGCCCAATTTACAGATCAAAAGTGCTCGCGCAAGCAGAGCGACCAGGACTACCACGAGTTTGAAGGCAAGAATTCCAGCGGGGAAAGAAAAAGCGGCGGCTTTCTCCACGCGTAAGCGACCTCATTCAGTGAGGGATTTCCGGAACTTGGCATAGGAACGAACGAAATTCCGGAAGCTAAAGGTTAAGCTGTGTAGCGAAACGGCATGAAAGAAGAGCTTTACATGTCGGGATAAAAATCACCCGCGAAAGAAGAAGCAAATAAGACTCGTAAGAAGAGATAAAACGTGCGTGCGAGCTTCGTTCTCAAGTTCCCCGCGCAGTGGCTGTCAATCTCCATCCGTTACTGTCTGCGCGCCAAGTTGTCGCCAGCCCACCTCAGCTTTCCCCTTCCCCGGGCAACCCACGCGGCGGCGTCCGATGACTGCGTCTGCGTGGCTGCTTTATTTTCGTTTCTCGTTGTCGTTTTGTCCTCGCAGTACCGGCCGCGCTTATCATCGCGCTCAGCTTCCGGATTTTCTCGCACCGGCCGCTGACCGAACGCGATCGCCCGGAGCCCCGCAGTGTCTCGCTCTTTCTCGCGGCCCTCCGCGTGGTGTCGTCCGCGGGACACCGATATTGTGCTTTCCGGTCGGCGCGTCGGATGCTTCCTTCCTGGTACACGACAGACATCGTTCCCAATCAACGCCGTCTTTCACGGGCGTGACTTATTAAGACCGTTCCATTTAGGCGAGCCAGGGCGAGTGGACTTTTCTCGCCGAGCTTTGTTTTGTATGCACGACCTCTGTCTCATTACCGACGATGGAGTTCTCAACTGGTCCTTTAGTTTAGTTGTCTTCTTCCTTTATTCCTTTCACCTACTGTGGAGGGTCGGCCCGTCTTTTCTTCTTCTTCTTCTTCTTTTTCTTCCTCTTCTTCTTCTTCTTCTTCTTCTTCTTATTATTATTATTATTATTATTATTATTATTATTATTATTATTATTATTATTATTATTATTATTATTATTATTATTATTTTAAGATTGTGAGTTTGCGGGCCCTGTACGGCCCTCTGTTTTTTCTTTCCTTTTGTGCCTCCCAAAACATATTGTGTACTCGCCAGTGACAGCGTGTAATAGCGCACGTGCCAATAACAGCACACTGAACGTCGGAGAGTTTGAGCCGGACATCACTCACTCACAGCTCTTCACAACTAACGATTTCAAGTGAATAGCTTCGAGACATAAGACCTAAACTGTTTGCGGGCATTTCAAGGCGCAGGACTGTATAACCAATTAAAAAAGATACTACTTTCTACAAGGTCGCAATATTTCGCACCGTCAACAAAAAGTCAACAGTACATATAGAAAAAAAATATTTACAATATAGTTCTTACGAAAATGTTATCGCTGTCAAGCAGGTTTTTTGAACAAGAAAGTTGTCTGAATGCACCAAGGCATGTCCCCTCTCAAAATATAAACAAGGTTAACGTTAGATTAAAACAGACCTTTGCATTTTCAAGCACAATTCACGAGCTATACTTCTTTCAATAATGGCCGCACTCAGGGGGAACAGTGATAAGCATAGCTTAGCTACCCTCGGGAAATGAATGTAGCTTTTTCAAGGCTTTACGAGAACCATGGCCACTCACCCACTCACTACGCCTGTGATATACTGCATCCTGACGCGCAGGTAACAACATACTGTCGCCTTAGTATAATAAAGAGAGCAACAAGCTACAATATGATACACTTACTTGTAAATTAAGTGATTTTATTGTGTTCAATATGGTCTATAGCTTTAATTAAAACACTTTAGTAGGCAGCTGACCACGCTATTTTGCAGATTTCTAACTATTCTGCAGAAAACAAACTCCGTAAAAGCTTCAGACTGTTATAAAATGGGTAGTACAGCACAAGTTTAAGGGCGCATATCCGGGATAACGGACGAGAAACTACTTTTGTTATTTCTAAAACAAACAAATAGAATTAATTGCTTGGTTCCGCCACTTGCTCGACAGTATCCTTTCCTATAGCGTCACCCAGGTTCGCATATCGAATTTCACCTGAGATAAACTATGAGCGTTTTGCGCTTCTGTTTAAAAGAGTTATCTTACTTAATGTTTTCACGCTGACCGGTGTTCGAGCACGTGCCATTCATGGGAACCATTGCTCGAATAATGTAAATAGCTTTTGCTTTCTATGAATACCCATGTAAAGAAAGAAATAACGTTAATCCATCCCCAAAGAAGCCCGAATTCTCAGAATATGTATAAGTAGTAGTCAGCTTTTCAAGTGAACGTGAATATTCTTCGCCAAAAGTACGATATATAAGTACCATAAAGCAGTTACCTTAGTCATGTCTGGAAACTTCTGTTCTTGCAATTTCATATATACCAAAATAAGCGATGCACCTAGAATATATTCTAGAAAGAACTGGAATATATTCTAGCTCATATCTGGGGTAAATGGTAAAAATACACCCGTCACTTTGTGTCAAGCTTTGAAACAGTGCATCGCCATTCGCGTACTTACGTCTTATGGCCCAGGACTTGAGCTGGCGCAGTCCCAGCATGACCTTAAAGTTGGCCGCCTGACACTCGGGTGACATGCCAGCTTCGCCGCTGGCGCGTAGCATTTGAGGCAAGAGGCGACGCAGCTGGGTGTCCACTGTCGACTTGAGCATCGACTCCACCTTGGCCCACGACCGGCGCACGGCTTCGGCCGCGTCCGGCGTCGTCGTCGGCGGCTCGTCGGTGGTCGGCAGTTCAGTCGTTGTCTCCTCCGGCGTCGTCTGAGCGATCACCGCCTCTGCTACGAGCAGCAGGAGTGTCATCTTCCACAGGCTGAGCCGCATGGTACCTGAGGCTGTGGTTGCCGGGCGGGCTTACACTAGTATTCCAGCACGCGCTGACAAGGCGCTACGGACGTTGGTGGCTGACGGTGGCTCAACGTTCCGTAAAAGCCGGCGGCCCCAGCTCATGACCCGTAGGCAGCGAGTGTAGATAAGCGACTGGCGCTGGCCACCCGTGGGTCTCTGGAGCGTTGCTGGGCCCCGTGGAAAGGTGGTGCCGCTGGACCGGGCCAGGTGCACGTGCGCGCGGCAAGGAAGAAACGCTGACGTCGGCCAGCCAGCGTTGGCCGGCGCCAATGGCAGACCCGTTTACGTGACCAAGGGAAAGGGGCCACTGCGGGGAGAAAGCACAATTCGGGGAGGAAAGCGGCGACCAGCGCGGGAGTCTCGCGGCACCCACACACGCCGAGGGAAGAAAACGCGCAAGAAACTCACGAAGCTGACCTAAATTAGGGGACCCTCGCTGTCGCACAGAGGGCACAGAAGGAAACGTGGACAACGAGGCGGCCGACCGCATGTGTCTGTGTGTGCACGGCCATCTTCAGCAGAATCCGCAGGAACCCCGCGGACGCGCGTTAATTTTTTTTTTTTTTTCTTTTCCTCCGTACGTAGCGGAGACGGTCTACATTTTGGTCGTGCCTCTCAGGCAGTCGCGCAGCGGAACATAGCTGCTACTATTGCCGGTGGCTGTGGCGGCCGGCTTGTGCTTGTGGCTGCTGCGTGACATTCATATTTAATGGCATTTCTCTGCTTACATTCGCGAGCACCTGCGAGTGAGTGCCCATGTACGAGCCGGTAGTTTAGCTGCGTCACACGATTAACGCCAAGCGCAGGGTCAAAGTGCGCTGCCGCAAATTATTTTGCTACTTATGAGTGCCGCGTCGCCGCCGCTTGAATGAACCAATTTGTTAAGCTTTCGTTGCTGTCATGAAGCTTTGAGCAGTTATATGGTCCGTAATTTTTTCCCGCTGCCAAATTCGCAACCAGAGAGAGAGAGAAAGAAATAACATGCAGGGAGGCAGTAAGGTCAACCACACAATTTATAGAGTTAAGTACAGAGAGGAATGGTTGTGGCAGTTCTGTAGCGTCAGGAGAGGGAGGGAGCTGGTGAGCACTGCGTCATAACGAAAGATCAACTACAACAGAGCGTTTAAGGTCACTCGCGTTGTAACTCTTCAACAACTTCAGCCACGCTTCAGTTGTATAAAATCCACTAAACTATGATGGTTTCGTCAATGAAAGAAATAGTGGCCTTAGTAAAGGCTGTTATTTATTGTTTCCTCTCCAGTGGCTGAGTTTAGATGACTTTCTTAGATCACAAGCCAATGTTTCAGCTTTTACCCCAATTTATTCTTGTAATCTTTTATTTTACACGCAATAAATAACTAGTGGACACCACCTAGCTAAATTTCTGGCACAAACAACTTTACCATCTTACCATGTGGCCTGGGTTCGAAACGTGCGGTTGACAATAAGCACACCTTTGTGGGCGTGTGTGTGTGTGTGTTCTGTAAACGGAGTTTCTACAGGATTGCGAACTACCTCAGCTGCGGTAATTATATGACGTTTTCCATGTCTTTCTGATTTATACGCACCTGTCTACATGTTCTTGATGACTCGTTAGGTATAAAATATTTCTGGCAGATTCTTAATTCATCAATTATTAAGTTGCTACATAACGCTGACCACGTGACTTAATTACTTCTTTTATAGCTAGATTTTATAACTGATAAAGTTGAAAGTGGCTCTCAGTGAATCTTCTGTATATGGCAGCATTCTGTGTAAAAGGTAGCATGCTTTAAACCACCATCAATTATGCGCATGAAATGTTTTCGAACTTGCTACGCAGGCTCTTAATGGAATGCGCACAGTAATGTCTGTGCCTTTTGTAATGAGTGGCTAGCATTACACCACACATTCGTAATGATAATTAGCGCATTAGCTGACACCCGATGGTGAGATACGCTCTTTACGACGCAATATAACTGCGATATCACATGTTGCATTGTAAAACCTGTATGCAGAACGCTTCAACTTGCAAAACAAATTATTTTGACTGTACTTTAAAGCAGATGAAGGTGTTTTAATTGTATTTCCTAGCAGGACGTGTCACTGTGTAAGTAGGGCACCTGCTTGCCGCGTAAACAGCCAGAGCTCGATCCTCACTCAGACCCAGAGTTTTTTTTTTTTTCTTTGCGTTTGTCTCGATTTTTTGCATGGTGGTGATTTTTTTTCTTCAAAACCGATGACGCCGATGCCAACGACAGAGTTTCTGCGGAATAAACTGTTTAATATTACCGTGCTAACACACGCAACGTATTTAGAAGGTTGAAATGCCCAAACAAATATATCTACAAGCACAAATACTCGAATACGAGAGACACGTTTGTGCGTATTTCAGCTTTAACATGTACTAATGGGCTAGGTAGTATTGCAACAGGTTTTAAGTCCGCTTTAATACATGTAAGCATGCTTTACGAGGTACGCATATTCTGTGTCGTCTGGCGTACCCCTGGTGCCGCCACGCGCCGTATAGATATACTTACGTCACTTGGCACTTCCGGAGGTCCTACGTCACGTTTACGTTTCTCGCTCCGTATGCGACAAGCCTCTTGTTAAATATGCCATGCAAGCAGTCTATGACAGTCTACGAAATACTGTTGACGTGAAGTAATGTTTTATATCGGCCAAACCGGCCGGTTTATAACATGCCCTTTAGATAACGAATACAAACCGGTTCTGCGCAATCCAGCAAGGTACAAAAAGGGCTGAAAAAGGGAAAGTGACAGCTCACGTTTGTAGCACGAAGCCACAAAAATTTGTAGCACGAAGCCACAAACTTCTACCTTTTCTTAATTTCGCATGCCGGTACATGTAAGACCAGCGGTCACGGTAGTATTAGTTGAAAACCCATTTGCGAAGAGTGAAGTGCAATAATCCTCTAACACGCTCATATGTGATAGAGACAGGAACATAGCCTCTAGTGGAGGTGATGATGACCTCCTTCAAAGACATGGTACTTGCAACCATAGAAGGGCTGCCAAGGAAAATAAGTTCGGACCCTGTTATTAATATTCGGGCAGTAAAGCAAAGCTTCAAACCGTGGCACCGCATTAAACACTTTCCTGCATCAATAATTTGCTACACTAAATTTCATTTTTGAAGTACTTAATTCATTTGTTTTACCAAGCATAAATCCTTAGATGACTCATCAAACACGCAAATTGACATTTTCGCATCGCCTCTGTTGATGCTCATCACGCATGCATCACTCCTGTTGCATTGTTTTCTCATCGCTTCTGTTGGCGTAGATGCGTCGTCGTCCACAGGAGGAATGCGAAAAATCATCATCATGTGATGGCTTAGCATATGACGAAACAAACTGCCAGTACTTGTGAGAAACATGACGTCACACTGACGTCACTGTGACGTACCATGACATCATTATTTGAGGCGTTCACGAAGGCTGTGCAAAACTGCGTTATAAGCCCAGAAAGGTTTCAAAAGGAGGCGTTGGAGGGTCGACTGAGAAAGGATTACCTTCCTGTCGTTTTAGGCGAATGCACAAAGAGCCCTGTAAATTTCTCTCCTCTTTTTTTATTTCTGTATTTATTCATTTACCAAGTTTTTGTAAATCTTATTCTCATTTTTTTATTATTATTGACACGAAGTAACAGACAAGGCTGTTTTCTTTCCCCGACTTCTTCGGCGTTTCCATTGCCAGCTACTTACCGTCGCTCAGCGAAGAAATACAATGACACATTATGTCGCAGTGTGTTTTGCAACCTGCCACGGCGCCCCATTTCACTCCTGTGGAGCCAACTCTAGTGCTGTATATAGCTGCCTGAAAAGTATAGTGAAACCACCTATTTATGCCCGCTACGCTCGAACGAGCACCAAAAAAAATAAGAAGAAAGCGAAGCAGCCACAAGCCTGGCAAGCCGTACCGCGCTTCCTGCACGCCATAATACGGCTGTACGGAACATAAACTGTAGTTGAGTTGTTCGAAAAAGAAGCCTCTCAAAACGAAAGAAACGAATTGTGGCGAGATATAGCATGACAGGTTTGGCGAAGGTTCGCTGAAAAATGATAGTGAAATTCACGCCTTTGGGACACAATGCGTTGAGCAAAACGAGCACGCAAAACTTAAGGGCTACCACCGCTCAACCATACGTATACTAACTGCAGCAATGTATACGACGTGGCGAGAGGGATAAGAAACATTTCGCCTGAATGCAGACTTACTTCTTTTTTTTTCACGCATTTACGTTTTCTTCGAGCAAGTGCCACAAAAGGCACTTTCACGTTCAGTGAAGAAGTTATCGTAAGTTAAGCTGAAATAACTGAAATAGAGAGGGGAGGAGGGGGGGGGGGGGGTAGAATACATATAAAACAGGCGTCGGTGACCGCGGCGAACGCCGCCTAGACGCACGCTTTCGTTTTCGCACGATGTCTATGTACGAGGAGCCCGCTGTTCCACTGGCCTCAGCGCCCCATGGACATCACGATGCGAGTAGGCTCGTAGTTGCTGCGGCCCCGCCGCGTGCAGCAGCGGTTGATCGGCGCTGCGAAAAGGTCAACGCCTTCCTGGTAGGAGCCGGCTCTGCCGCAAAATTTTGCGCGTGAATTGTTACGCGTTGCTGTACACTGCAACCAAGGTCGCCGGCGTCAAGCACCAACAGTCGGTTGCTTCCGTCTGATTGAGATGGACAGCGCTTACACAACAGCTATCGATGCAAACCTTCAATCCAGGATGTTAAACGCAACGTGCAAGACGTTTGAGACAGGGCCCAATGCAACGTGTAGTTACAGGCATCGTGCTTCCGTGCATGTAAGTGTCCTTATATTGGCCGGTGTTTCAAGAAACGGTGTCGGACAGCTTTTGGCTCCTGTTGAGAAGTGGGGGAGACTCCCACTGTCGTGGGTGACCTGGTTAGAGGGAAGAAAAATAAACACCTTGGGAATGAAGACGCGCATGGAGTCGAATAAACTGAGTAGAGGAA